TGTGGAGTTCTGTGAATTACCGAGGGACTTGGGAATTGTACGGTTCTCTCGTTGTGCTGAAAGTTTGGAGGAATTGTATTTGTCTGAGTTTACGTACCACTAGTGCGTTTTTGTGAGCCGGTGTTCTAGATTCTGTGAAATCGTGCAGATTTGATACACTCAGTTTCCTTTCTCTCTTACGTTTGATAGTGAGCTAAACCCACCACCTGCAGATGCTGCCCTCTGTGAAGAACTCCCAGCTGGTGAATGGGAGACGGTGCAGCTGCATGGATGCTGGAAAAATGGGCAAAGTGCCGGAGGTAGCAGGAACTTCCCCTCCTTCCATATCAATCCCTGCTTTCCCCTCTCCATTCCTGCAGGACCAGGAAAAAGCAGTGTGAAAGTTACCCTCCGGCAGCACTGCCACGATAGCAAGTGTCGTCCAATAGGTTTCCATATTTTCCAGGTAAGTCTCCTTCCGGTCAGTTTGCTCTGTGCTGAGTGGGAAGGGAAGGCTGTCAGTTCAGTGCTCCTTGCACCTGGCAAGGGCCGTGCTGCTTCTGGGAGAAACAGGCTGCTCCTGCAGAGTGATGCCAGTGAAACGTAGGAAATAACTGCACACTGGGGAGCGTGGTAACCGGATGATTGGTTCCACTGAATCGTTCCGATGTTCTGCATTCCTTTTACAAATTAGGAATTATTTTGATGATTAGCAAGGAATTTGCAGTGTCTTAGTGAGTGAAGACCAGACTTTTTGGTAACTGACCATGAAAACTTCCTTTCTTCATCTTTAAATATTATTTACTTCCCACTGGGGAGCATTGTTGGATCCACAGATGGGATGGAATCCCAAAGGACTGAAATGTTGAACAGATGATCTGAAACAACACAAGGTGGGATTTGGTTTCGGATCAAACACAGGCTGTGCGTGTATGTGACAGCGATCAACTGCATAAATGTAGGGTGGGAAGCTTCTGGTTAGGTGGCTGTTTTGCAGGGAAAGCTAGCTTTTTTTTTCCCAAAATGTGCTTCAGAAAAGGAGAGTCTGGAGTTGAGCATTAGGAGTGATCTTATAGCTTCGAATATGCAGTATGTGAAAAAAAGGTTGGGAAAATGGCATTTTTCATGCATACAGGAGACTGAGGAAAAGCCTAAGATGATTCTTTAGCCCAGGAAAGGCCACTAGAAAGAGAAAGGGCATGGCCTGTTCACCTTACCTGTGAGCTGAAAAACAAGGGCGTTGCGCTGCCGCGAGGAAGAGCCCTCAAAAGCTTTTCTGTTGTCTAACCTCGGCGTGGGTTGTATACGCTGCCTGCAGATATGGTAGGAGTGATTTGTCTGTCCTTGCTACTGCCACCTGGGTTTTCTGGGAGCCTTCCCATCCCTCTCGTATAGCTCCGTGCAGACGAGCGAGTATTTGGAGTGGAATAGAAAGGTGAAAAGGTGAAAAGGTGGCGGTGTTGTCATCCTTTTTTTTGCAGGTGCCCAATAGCAGCTGGAAACCACACACTTCCTCCTTTCTACACCTGGAACCTCTGGTTAGCTGCGTCCCTCACTGCTACTCGCAGGAAGTAAGCCAACTTTGCAGACTTCCTGCGGGAAGTTTCGTGATCATACCCTCCACGTACCTGCCCGATACGGAGGGCAGTTTCACACTGGTCATAGCAACCAAAATAGAGAGGTAAAAACACGTTGCCTTCTATTTGCCTTCCTGGTGTTTTTAGTGTGTGCGTTACAGTTATTGCTTCCAAACATCCTGTAGTGGTGTGTTCTCACTTTTGATAAAAAGAAGGCATATATTTGTTCAGGTCTTTGTGGTGCTGCTGCTGTGTTTGCCAGCACTGCTCGCCGCTGTGACCGTGTTGGGAGGGTGAGAAATAATGAAGTATTTATAACCTTCTTGCCTCAGTTACTGACTAAGTGATGTCTGGTGCTGGAGAAGATGGCACTGCAGCAACCAATTGTCAGCTGTGTCCAGATACTGGGATTTATGCTGAAATTGTACCAAGCTTTTTAAAAAAACAGGGTTGGTTTTTGAGCAGCTGCAATCTGTTGCAAGCCTTATTGCAGGGAATTCTTCCTGATGAGAATAGCAACAGGTCTGAATCAGAATTTGTAGATCTCATAGGATTGCGTTGAGAGTCCATAAAACCTCATAAAGATTCCGGAAGGATGTGGAAGAAAGCCTGGCATAACAATCTTTTGGAGTGGGATAAATGATTGATGTTTGCACGATTCCCCCCGACGCTTTGTGCAGAAATAAGTGTGATTTTGGTTTTCCACAGGAAGCGCATTCAGAGCCGGGAGACGCTCGGACAAGCCTTGCAGGAAGTGAGTGATAACTTTTTCTATCAGTTATTAGAAAGGTGCCACAGAGGCATCGTCGAGGCTCATGTAGCAACCTTGTGGTGCTTGTTATTTTAGTGTGTAGGAGCTGAAGTGTGTAATGAAGTCCTTTATTGCTGTTTGGAAACAAAACACTGCAAGGCCATTATTACAGAAGGAATATATTCAAAGATATGTTTCGTACGTTATCCCATGAAGATGGTTGTGCTTGGGCAAAGGTGCTCCCTGATGTCAAGGGAACAAACAGTTTACGCTCTTCAGGACTTGGAAACTTGACAGATTTGGAAATGGTAGACGTAGTTTTCTTATCAGCGGCAGAAATTAATGTCTGAGTCTAATCTTCAGCTGCACAGGGTTTTCTGGAGCCTGGGCTGCACATCCTTCGGTGCTTGCAGGGGTTGCACCTCCGCAGGTTGCAGGCAGCCTGCCTCACTCAGCAGTCGGGTTACTGGTTTCTTAGAGGTGCCTCACGGTGGAACTGGATGCCAGTGCACTTTTCTAAGAGTTTGTCTTCTAATTACCAAAGTCATGGCATTTATGAGTTTTAAGATGCTTCACAGGAAAAGCTTGCATTTTGTCCTTAATTTCTAAATCTTTCTTTTCTTATTTACTTTAATTCCTTATGAATTTCTTCTCTGTCTTGACCAAAAAAGTTAACTCATTAAATAGCTTTGTTTTCTGCATTGTTCATTTTCTTACAGATTTCATTTACAACTGTGATGAAAAGGTTATGAAGAACTCCCGCGCTGTCAGTTGGAGAAGCAGCGGAAAGCCAGGGGATGTCTCACCTCTTGCTGTTTTCAGTTTTAAGTGGAATCACAAGAAGATACTCTTAGCCCAGCTGGTTTTCACTGGTACTGGCTGCCAGGCCTACAATGACTTTTTGGTAAAAAATACCTCCTTAGTCACGTACACTCTGAATATCTGTTCTTCCCATGTTTTTTAGAACCAGGGTTGTACAGCAAATCATATAAGGTACCTCAGTTCTTCAAAACTCTAGGTGAAGAATATGTGCATGTTCTTACCCCAGCTACAGTTTTGGAACAAAACCAGAAAACACATCTGTGTAACGAAATCATGTTTTTTGGGAAAAGGAAATCCAGCTTGCAGAATTACTTCGGGAGGCCAAAGGGGTAAACATAGAGGAAGGAAACTGGAGTCTTTTTCAGGTAGGACATACCTCAGGAGCCATCAGAATACACTGGAGTAAAAGTCCAAGCTTGTACCCTACACTGCCAGTTGTGCTGCTCAATACCCCCTCACGGGCCCTTTATGGATCCATGTGAATGGTGGGTTGAAATTCAAGGGTTTGGGGGGGCTGGGGGAGATTTTCTATCATGAACACCACAGAGGAAAAAAACTAAGACTTGAAAACTTTTGTTTATGACCTGTCGCGTCAGACTGCGGTTGTGAATCCCTACCCACGTGTTTGACGCAAGATCTGCCCTCGCTATAAAGCATAGGAAGTGTAAGAGATTTTTTCCTTAATTTATGTTGGAAAGTATTTCTTATTGAAGGAGGATTTTGTAGATGTTCTATTTTCCTCAATAAAAATGGAGTAATGTTGAAAGTTTTAAAATGTCTTTTATTAAAAAGGTGAAAACTGTCAATGATGTCAAGTCTCCACTTGTTCTACAGTAGCAAACTTGAGGGTGTGTTGAGAGCCCTGGGGTTTCACCACTTGGAAGGGAATAAACGGGAAATATTTGAGAGGAAAATCTAATCTTCCATTAGTTTTATATCTGAGAAATATGTAATATTCTACTTCTGCTTTTAACTACATCCTATCATAATTTATGCTTGCTTTTCTTGCACTTGGCAAACTGAAAGCATCTAGGGCGCTTGCAGCTGAATTTTAGGTGGTCAGAACTTTCCATGTCTGCGCTGGAATGATGAGACAGCGAAAGATAACACTGTGAGTAATAAATCTCTGCTGTGCCAGCTTTAACAAAGGTTGGCATCTTTGTTTGTTTCTGAATTTCTTGAAAGGCTGTTCCTTTCCCTTCAGCTATGAAATTACTGGATGATACGTGTTTCTAAACAGAAGAAGTAGAGGTTCATGAAAGTACCTGGATCTGAGAGTTGTGATAAAATAGGAATCAGATGCTGAGGAAGTAAAAAAAGAGTGTAAGGATTTCTAAGTGGACTCTTAAGAGGCCCCATTCTGCAGACATCTGGGTGTCTGGAGTTTATCCTGCAATGTACAGTGTTCTACAGGAGTGTGAAAGGAAAGGTGCTAACGCTATGGGTGTACACTCTCACCTTCTGCAAAAGGTTGTCGGAGCAGGCCGTCTGGGAACACAGACCAGTGAAGCTTTTATTCAGGCATCCTCGCTGCATCGGGACGGTTTTGCTGTTTTAAGAGCGTGACACCTGACTAAGCACGTACGCAGGGGACTCCGCTTCATACAGATCGCTTCTCTGAAATCCTATAGCTAATTCAGTGCTTCCGTGAGTGTGAAAACGCGTGTTTTGGTAACACTTTGCTGCGTGCTTGTATGCGTCTAAGGTGAGGTGAAGCTCAGCTGCGCGAGGCCAGGCAGCCCGCGTAAGCCCCCTCTACGCTCACGAGCTCTGCTGAGCTGCCCGCCCCTGCGCAGGATGGCGAGGCGTGTTTTCAGGATGCTGCGGGTATTGCCCGGCGGAAGCCCCTCTGCGCCGCAGCCAGCTGCGGACTAGCGTGGAACAGCGCGGAGTTGGTACGGATGTGGCTGCAGTATCGCACCCAAGGTGTACCCTGCGTTGATTCCCTTTGTTCCCTCGGGGAGCCGGAATGTGAACGCCCGGAGGAGGTTGGTGAAGAAGATGAACAGTTCAGCTCGTGCCATCTGTTCCCCCAAACACACACGGTGCCCTGCAGAAGGAAAGGGGAAAAGAGTTGGGGGTTAAAGTTCTGAAAAAGAACTTCAAAATCCTACAGAGTTCCATAAATTCTGTTAATGTAAGATAATTATTTCTCATTTCCTTCTGTAAGGACGGGAGATGCCTTTGGAAGTGGTGGGGAATGTTTATTTAACTGAGAAACTGGACGTCTCTGTAGCTGTTTGGTTTGGGATTTGGGGTGTTGGGGTTGGTTTTCCTTCCCCTGGAGCATGTACGAGGTTCTCCTTTCCCATTTTGGTTGCTTCTTGTGAGAACTGGGAATTGCTTCTCGGTTAAGCCAGGTTTTAAAAGGCCTCATGTACTTCAGAGCCTTTGGTTGTTGAGGAGGGAGGGCTGGAGCGTTGTGGGATGCCGCTCCCCAGCTGAAGGGAAGGATGTGATCAGGCTGGCTTTGGCAGAGATGAAGAAGGTTTTATAGGGGCCTTGTAGCCCCCTGTCTCTGACAGTGTCCACCTGAGGATACATAAGCTAAGGAATGAAGCGTAGGCACGGGCAGTGCTGCCTAGACTCGGTAACTCACCTTGGCCTGTTGTTTTCACAGTGTATTTCAGGATACCGAGATGTTCCAGACTCAAACAAGTTACGTATTCGGGATACGCAAATACTCCGATTATAAAACAGAAAACAACCAAAGCAAGTTACAAACCACCCTATGCCTGGCCGAAGCGGCAGCCTAAATTAGTTGTCTGGCTCCATGGACGTAGGGTGAGTGAGGGAGGTAAGATGCTCACCGCCTGTTCTGCAAATACAATTTCGGGATTTGCAGGCAATTTGGGCGAGTGGTTTTAAAACCTGGATTTACTATGCTTACCCTGAGCGCTCCGTGTGTCGCTTAGTATGCTGTTTGCTTTTTATCTGCAAGTGTGTATGATCTGTCACAGTAATACAAAAACCTCAGCTGTTTCCCCATGGTTTTAGCATTTAATTTTTATATTTTAATTTTTTTTCCTCTCCCAGGTCTTTGCTGCATTTTGCATTGTAAATTTGGTCAGCTGTACATCGTAATAGGCTTCTGAAAAATTAGAAATTATTTCTGATTGCATAAAAATATTCTACTGAAAGTACAGGATTTTGCTAGTTTTCTCGAGATACAAGAGAACCTGGTGCTAGACTATTACTGTAGGATTTGGGAGTCTGAGGTTTGGTTTCCTGCTTTATCACAGATTTTCTCTGTATATTTTGACAAATCATATTACTTTTGATTTTGCGTTTCCTGTTTGTAAGGTGAGAATAAATTAATTTTCTGATTTGAGGGTGTTACCAGGATTCCATACGTTAGGGAGTAAGGAGCTCAGATACCCCTGGAATAGGCACCATCCATATACCAAGGAGACAGCATTGTGTCTCTGAGGCATACTCATCCTCTGCTTGAATGTATGACAAGTGTAAAATGCCATAAAATATTTGTGGCCTTTACAGTAGAACGCTTGAGTTGAAATCTGTGTGTCTGATACGGTTTTATGAAAGTGTGGTTTTAAAATTTTAGGACTTAGAAATAATGGGTTTAGTCTTCCTGCAAGACGCCGCGAACAGGGATGTTCAAACCTCAGGGCATCACCTGCTGAGAAAGGTAGGAATGTCTCTTTGTTCACGAAGTTGCCATCCGCATCAAGGAAATGATTTGGGTTGAACTTCCAAGGGGTCGCCCAGTGCTCGGAGTCGTACACAACGGAGTGCAGGTTTGGCAGCACGAGCGTGCCCTGCAGGAACAAGCAGAGGGGTTATTTTCCTCGTATGAGCAACTCTTCTTTTGGACTTTCTCTAGTAGATAATGTGCCGTCCCCTGCCTGTGGGTGGATTCCTTCCGGGCTCTCCCTGCCCACGTATGTCTGTGCTGCGCCACCACGCGTTCCCTGCGCGGAGCGAGCAATCCTGTCAACGCCAAGCATGAATAGCTCAAAGCTTTAAGAAACATGGAGGTATTGCTGTACCTTTTGAAGGTGAAACCCCAGCACGGTCGTATTCCTCACACATTGTCGGGGGACCCCAACAGCAGTGACGTTGCTGTACCGCAAAGCTTCATGGATCACAGCGTTTGTATATGGCAGTTTTTTACGGTCTTCGTAGCTGATGAGATGGGAGGGTTCCAGAACAGCCTCTATCTCTCTTTGCACCTTTTCTGCAGAGAAAGGAAAATATTTTAACTCTTTTTCCCCATTTTTTTCTCACGGATTTCTGTACAAGAATGCTCCAGGACCGGGGAAAAAAGGGAATTATGTTGCTGTGAGTGCATTGGCATGTGATTTGACTGCTGTGTTGGTTTCAGTTGATCAAGAAGGTGTGTCTCCCCAAAGCACAAGATGATCTCTCATATAAAACACGTCGCACTTGGTGATGAGGATGATACATTTCTGTGTTTTAGAAGAGGATTAAAATTGGGAATTACAGGTGTAATTTATGCTTATAAATACACATCAGACCACGTATCTTTTTAAAGGTTTTTCCACTTTGCAGGTTAAAAAGAGACTGTGTTACATATGAAATGTCTTTAGCTTCTTACTCTCTCTTTGCCATCCCCTTCTAGTGAGATAAAACGTGGCTACTACCAATTTCTGCTGGTGTGGTTTCTTAGTGAACTGGTGGGGAAAGCACAGGTTTGTTTCATTTATTAAACTTTCACTTTCTGGATCTCGGTAGTTGATGCACTCCGTACGTTGCTCTGTGATAATGTTTTCGCTCACCTTGTATTTCTGGGTGTTGTACCATGTAGAGCAGTGCCCAGAGAAGGGTGGTACTTGTTGTTTCTGTCCCTCCCAGCAAAAGATCAACCACAGTCTGAACCATATTGTCGTTATTAAACGTCGAAGTGGGGTCATCTTTGGTCTGTAGGGTGTATTCACAAGAAGACTATGAAAGGGAGTAATTTCAGACATTTCATGGGTTACGTAGAAATTGTCATTGTTTGATGAAAACAGTGGGCAGCCCACCAGAACAATAATCTTCAGTGCTGAACAAATGAAGTATGCATACAAAAGTTCTGTAGCTGTTACTGGAATAGCAAGTGTCTATTTGGGATTGTGGCCAAGTGGGGGATAGCGTGATAAACAGATACTTACTTTTGCTATTTGAGCTCGGTAGAAGTCTATGAGATCCTGCGGATCCCCTGCATTCTGTCTCTCGTGAGTCTGGACCTCTTTCCTAACTAGAGCGTGCATGAAGTCATTGTACGCAAACGCTTTCTGGTGGGGTCCTGGGAGGTGCTGCATAAGCCACGGGAAAGCGTCATACATCTGTCATTTTAAACACGGAAGAAACGTGAGCTTAAATGGAGAACCTAATTCTGATTTCCTGATACCTCTGTGAAGTCACAGCACCACGTGGGCTCCTAACTGGGGTGAGATGCATTGGACACAAGTCAGAGAGAGATTAAATACCGGGAACAGGTTTTCCAGAGAGTCTGTGTGAAATCTTCATCCTTGGAGACTTTAAGACTTGACCAGGGAAGTCCCTAAACAACCTCATCTAATTAGACCTGCTTTGAGCACGCAGTTGGCTTAGCTGATGTGTAGAGGTTCCTTCCAGTGTAAATTATTCTGCATTTCTAAGAGAGGTTATGAAACTTTTACATTACTTTTAAGCATGTAGAAGGGCCTAGAAGTGTATGAAAGGTGTAGAAGCTGACTTGGCCTCTCAGCCACCGATGCTTTCCTCCAGGAGAAACGGGCATGTGCGTTTCTTGAGGGGAAAACTAATTATTTTAATTTCTTTGCATTATGCATATTTTGTGAATGGACTTCAGTCTGTAGGACTACTGGCAGAGCCTTTGTTTTATTTATGGCCTGTGCTTAGGGATCTGTTGGCCAGTGCTGACTTCTCCATCCCCATCAGCTGACCAAAAGGTCAACATAGTGTAACAGTGGAGTCAGCTCACAGGAGGAGGATCATATTTTATGGTTTGGATGCATACCTAATAATGCAACAGGGGGCAATCAGAGTAATTGAGGGCTCACAAGCAGATTTTCTCTACCTTGGTTTGACTCTTTTTTTTTTTTTTTTAATTTTTTTTAAGGCATCTCGGAGTGGAAGCGTTGGAGAACCTGGTAATGTTACAGAATGCCAGTGTGCCAAAACCCACACAACATAAGCGATAGCTATGGCTTCCAAGAACTGAAAATATTCTTCCTGGTGTGATGAAATTGTCACTTGTGTCCTACAGGAAGCTCAAAATAGCTCAGATCTTGGTGGTAATATGAATTGCATGAGAAGCAACATATCTTCTCAAAAGAGTAGGACTTTGAAGGCTTAGTTCTTATTAACTGCACTTCTGTATTCTCAAGACTAAGTGAAAATTAAATTAGAAGTAGAAAATTTAGAAGTAGCTAATTAGTAGAAAATTTAGAAGTAGCTTTCATGTTAAGATGTAAGATTCTTAAGTAGACCATGATCTGCAAATGATTACTTATTTGAAACATGTTTTATGTGAAAACCGGGGAAGATCTAGAATCTAAATTTTAGGGCCCATGACTTACTGACAGAAAGGAGGAGTATAAGGCAGTAATGACATATACGAGGTACGTATTAATTTATTACTGCTCAGTGGCTCACAGAACAACGGTATGGAAACATTCAGGAAAAACTATCATTGACTTTGGTTTGACAAAGTGCAAGCGCGCTTTAAGGAGTAAGAACAAGAAAACGAGATTCTTACCCTGCCCCAGACAGTGGCTTGAATGTAGATCACAAAGTTAACAGCTTTGATAAGCCTCCTGAAAGATTCATCCTGACTGGCGAAGCGATGACCAAAAACAACAGCACAGATTATATTTGCAATAGCCTGGACAATGGAAGTGTGGGGGTCGAAAGGTGCTCCTGTGGACATACAAGATACCCTGAGTATGTCTGATCAGACTGCAGTGAGGGAAAATGAGGATGAGGAAGACTTTTTTTTTTTTTTTAAATGGTAAAAGTAATAGTAGATCAGACTACTTATAGGTAAACATCATCCAACTAAACTTTGGTTTAATGCAAATTAACTCTGTGGATTATAAATGACATGAATCTATTTTTAATCTGCTTTTTACTCTTGTGAAATGCAGTGACTACTGGTTTTGAGAAAATAAACATTAGGTCTCTTTTCCCCTCTTTGACTTGTGGTCTGGGTTGTGTGAAAACACAGGCAGTTAATTAGAACATATGCCTTCAGATCTAGAGGCAGATGTTCAAATTTGGAAATTAAAAAAACCCAAACCAAACACCACCCCCACCCAAAAAAACAGAAAAAAAATGCTAAGTTTTAATTTCTTAGCCATGTTGAAATGACTTGTCTCCTTTTGGTTTTCAAGTACAGCTTAACAATTCAACTTATCCTTTTTTCTCACAGACTGAAAAGGCAAAAATAGCATAATGGGACAGAAAACGGCTCCCATTAAAAAGGGTTAAATCCAGAAAATAAATTAAGCGTGCATTTCTATGGCAAGGACAACCTTTGAATTATATGACTATGGAAAACAGTGGATTGTGCATCTCTGACTTCAGTCCAATGCTTGTCGTCCTTCTTGGAAAGAGTAAATACAATTACTGAGTTGGAAGTCGAGGAAGGATTGCATGGAAAGTAAAGATTTGGGCTGTACCGGGACTCGGCGTCAGCGGTTTGTTCAGGTTGGTGAGTGTGTGGCTCTCGGAAGAGATGGGCCGTTTTGCTGTGTCTAGCACAAGGGGAGTTGGAGGGAGACCTTAGGCAACTTCTCTGTGTTTTCATATCAGCATGGAACACGGTGTGGGTGAGGGATTTGGCTGTTCAGAATATTTAGAGTTATTTGCTTTATTTTGACAACTTGCTAAAATTCTGTTGGTTTCTGTTTCATCCAAACCTTAAAAAGAGGTTTTGTTGGACAACCGAATGATACATTCCTGGTGTTGGGGTTCTTTCCCTGCCAAATCCTAAAGGCCCGCTGTCCTAGAACAACTCGCAGCAGGTCACAAACGGTAGTTTACGGAGGAGAACATAGGGTTTTTCTATACTCCCAGACTGTAAGAATTGTTGCCAGCTGTCCCCAAGACTGTTGATAATAAACATGGTTTTACTATCCTGATTTCAAAAAATGGTTTTATATCGCCCGTTGTGCAGACAAAACATTTTTTGTGAAGAATGTGGTTAAGAAGCCAGTAGAAGTCCCACTAATATGAAAAATATCTATATCACTTGTAAAAACGTGTTGTGAAAGTTCTATTCCCCTGATCTACCTATATTTCAGGAAAAGCTCTAAGCGTTATTCTTCTAGGTATTCTATTCTAAGTAATAAGAACCTACCTTTTGTGTTTGCAAAGATGTCCACGAGGTGACGGGCCTCTGTCTGAATTTGATGCTCCAAATTGTTCTTGCCAAGTGCCAGGCTTCTTAAAATCGTCATGCCAAAGCGTCTCTGTTGCTTCCAGGTGTGCCCGCTGGTCAGAAAAATACCTGAAGAACACGGAAACGTTCATTTTATTGCTGGGAAGGGAAACCCTTTGGCTGCGGGAGGCAAAATTCGATTTAGATTAGGTTATATTTCACCAGCAATGAAGACACATGGTCTCAGATACTGGCTTTTGGTCTCTAACTTAGGTGACTCCCAGCTATGTAGCTGCCTATCAGCGTGACCCTGGAAACTGGGCATTGGTGGGTTTTGGAAAGGGCAGGACAGCTCTGTCTATAGGTGCCTCCTCCATGAACGGTCTCCTGTTCGAGAAGTGATGCAACCGAAGGGCAACTCCTCTGGCCAAATTATTCCTTTGACTCTATCGGGAAGGAAAAAATAAGTCAGCAGTATGGTTTATAAGAGGAGAAATTTTTGTTTTTTCCTTTTCTTAACAGGCTGGCTGTGCATGGAACCTTTGTGCTGCTGGGTAAGCCCAGGTGCGGGCTGGCACAGCAGTAGCTGGTGTAAATGTGCCTACACAGGAGGGCGTCTGTCGGCCTCACATCTTGTTCCGATTTCGGTATTGTGTAATGTCCTGTACCTTTCTCGCCCATCATATCCCTGTAGAATGGGGTGAGAGGTCTTCCGGAAACTTCCACAGAGTGGGTGACGATGCCATCTTTCACTGCTTTGTAGCCGTTTAGTACAACCAACGGGGTCTGTCCCATCCACAAGGTATAGACGCTCCCGTAGGTGGTGGTGAACTGAAGAGTTAATAGCAGTCCATCAGTAAATAGAAACAGGGAATGCATGCACTTAAACACCAGTTTTAGGAGTTTTCTGCAGTTGTAACTGAACGCGTTTGCTGACACTGAATTGAACTACAGGTTTCAGAAAAGTTCAGCGCTTTGGGAACAGCAGGTAATTGTACTTTATGGGATCTCTCAGATGATCACCTCTGAAGATTTCCCAGAAAGAGAAGTCCCCTCTGTCAGTTCAGAATCAAAGAATGAATGAATACAGCAAAATTCCAGAGCTTTTCTCTTTATTAATGAACCAAAATGATTTTTTTTTTTGTATTTTCTTGCTTCTAGCTTCTGAAGAAAGCAAAGCAATGTTTTTGCATTGTTTCCTGTAGCTTCCACCTGATTTTTCTTATTTTTCTCTGTTGTCTTTCCTCAGAGCATGCTTGTATTTTTCCTCTAAATAGCTGGAAGCAAGTTCCTTACTTGCTTTTAAGGTAAGTACTTTTAAAAGTAACTTACTTTTAAAAACAGTTTTAATTGGTTTAGAAAGAAATCATGCTGTGAACATAATGACAGTCAGATTTTCCTGCTTTGTTTTAGTAATCATCTGTTTACTGCAAACAATAAATCTTTTTGCCGTCCAAAGAAGAAAAAAAAGAGTCAGTTTAGAGGACGTTTGGTCTTCTGATGGGGCTGGGACCACTCGTGGCCCGGAGATGTCCCAGTGACAGTGGTGTTGGCCAAAGGCAGATCTGCTAGGGGGGGTTTACAGGGCACAGAAACAGGGTGGAACTGCCAACGACATGTCATGCTATTGACAAGGCTTGTGGCCATGTCACGCGCGGCTGGTACCGTGTCCCAAAGAGAAAGGTAGTGAGGAGTAAAGCAATTACAGTGTTTGTCACTCAGAAATATTGTTAATAATGCAGGGTCCTTGGATTCTTGGAAACTGGCTGGTAATTGAGCCTGAGGTTTATAAAAAAAATAGTTCCAAGTTTAGACTGTTCCCATTAAATGTACAATTAAGTTAAAGTAGATCCAGACTGGTTTTCAGCCACAGAGATAAGTAAGTACCTTAGCGAGAGTTTCTCGACGGAGTTTGAAGTCCAGCAGCCACAGATTTCCGATGATGGGGAGGGGAACTGGTCCTGGAGGAAGCCGGGTGCGCATCCGTTGCAGCTTCAGGAACTGCAAAATCAGGAGAACTACCACTAGAGCTATAAAACCCTCAGCAATCCCCAACATCTTACCAAATTTTTAAATTCTGTTTGTTTGGATGTGGGTGTTTGGGGTTTTTCTGCGTACGACTCCCTCTGAAAATTCAGAGTTGTGTAGATGAGTTTGCCTCTACTGAAGTCAAACTCCTCAGACAGAATATATGTCTGCTCTAGACATCTTTCTGTGCACCAAGCTACAGTTTTCCCAAGCCAGAGCCCTTAGAAAACTGAAATATGTGACCCTTCACAGTTAGCCAAGCCACGCCTACTCTCTTTTATGGTCTGCAATTGTTATCTGTCTCTTTTCTCACTTAGAATTTTGTTTCCTTCTTCGTTTTGATACTGGGTCTAAATGCTAATTATGGAAGAGTCATCCAAGGATATCAAGTTTCTTGCATAATGATAACACCTCATGAGTTTCCTGTAGTTAAACATTAAAATACCAAGGGTGTGTTACTTATTACCTTTCTGAAATCCCACAATTATTATGTGGTTTCTCTTCTAGAAGAAGAAACAGCTACCGAATACCTGTCTGTATTGTGTTTTTTTAATTTTATGATAAAGGTTAAAATTTCCTGGTGCAAATTTTGAAGGTGAAAAAATGCCCAGGTTCTATTTTATCCCTGAAAAAGAAAAAATAAATGGAAGAAAAAGGCAAACTTTTAATCTTTATTCGTTTGTGGACCGATAAGCTTTCCAGGAGAAGTTTGTACCCATGTGCAGCAAATTTTAACTTAAAAAGAGTCTTACTTATGTGTTATTCACTGACTTTGATGTAATCTATGGACTGTAGTAGGTTGCTCTGAAAGTTTTGGGAACCTCCACTGCTGGAAAGCAAACAGAAATGGCATAGTTCTGGTGTTTGAAACAAGGTGATGGGTTTAGGGAATCTCTTCAGCCTCTTTCCAGACCTTTTTTTTTTTTTTAAATTATTATTAATTTGGGACAGGATTTCAGACTTCATGTCCCATTTCATCTATTCCCGTTGGGATGGCAAACCCTATTTTCACTTAAAGCTGCTTCTCTACCCCTTGTTTTTTCAGCCCTTGGGCAATGTAGAACCTGGAGATCTTGCTGATTTGTAAGTGCCAAAGCAAACTGCCCAGAGAACCTGGAGATGACTGAGGGTGCTGCTGTCGAAGAGGATTGTCAGTCAGACTTCATGTCCCATTTCATCTATTCCCGTTGGGATGGCAAACCCTATTTTCACTTAAAGCTGCTTCTCTACCCCTTGTTTTTTCAGCCCTTGGGCAATGTAGAACCTGGAGATCTTGCTGATTTGTAAGTGCCAAAGCAAACTGCCCAGAGAACCTGGAGATGACTGAGGGTGCTGCTGTCAAAGAGGATTGTCAGCCGCCACCCCCTTGGGAATTCAGGGGGCAAAGGAAAGGAGGTGTGTGACTCTCAGACACGTGGGACTTCCCAGGTTGAATCATTTTAGTGTGTGTGGTGCTTTAGACTTATGGTTTTGGGGCAGAGAAGTGGAAATAGAAAAGGTTAAAGACCATGATGATAATTTTCAGCAGTATGGTTCTATGAATCTTACACTTGAAGCAGACAAAAGCCTGAGCGCAGCAATTTGGAGTTAAATACCATTTACAGTTTTATCAGCCAGTTCTGACTGTTTCGGGGCAGCTCTTACGTTTGCTGAAACTTGCCCAGAGTTACGCTACTGAGCAGCACCCAATTTTTCAGGTTTCAATGCTTTGTGAGACTTTAAAAACAAGTTACCTGATGAAATGATCTAATTTGACTTGCTGCTTGTGTGCATCAGAATTTCGTTTCTTCACACGTGTGTTTTTTCCCTCCTCTTTGTCCAGCCAGTCCCGAGGGGTTAAAAGGAGGAGAGCGCTGTCCTGCTTCTCGTTTGTGCGCAGAATCGTTTGCCAAGTTTGCAAGTTTTGCACCAGCGAAAGACCGCTGAAAGCTGTGGATGCACGCATGCCATCAGTGAGGGTATGATTTATACACTTCAGACTAGCAGAATGAAGATGATTTTAGCCTTAAAATTATCTATGAATAATGGTGATTATGAGGAGACTTAGAAAAGAAAAAAAGAGCGTTGTGTGAAACATTCCAGTGAGCTTCTGTGCTGACAGATTTAAAATCACAAAATACTCTCCGTGTCCCTCCAATCTACATTTTTTTCTTTTAAATTTATTCTATAAACCCTCTTTCTTTTATTTAAATCTGAGCAGTCAGGCTGGGCGAGCATGGCATTGATTATTAATTCCCGCTCTGTAGCTCTGTTGTTTTCTACCGTCCTGCTTTGTGGAACCCACAGGTGGCTGTGCCCCAGAGCAGCCAGAAGCTGAAAGGAGCGTCACAAAAATGAATACACGAGGACACTGCTGTACGCGATCGCTTGGTGCGCGCCGTCCTGAATGAGCAGCAGCTTGGTGTCGGGTCCCGGCGGGTTTGCTGCTTGAAGCAGTCCCCGGCAGTGTCCAAAGACGGAGCCTGTGCGTGGTGGCTCAGTGTGGTGCCTGCCTGGTGGTGGTGAGGTCCCCGTTTTCCGTGACATTTCTTGCCCTGGCAGCCCCTGTGATCACTGTTGTAGTTAAGTGTTGCCGTGTCGCTTCAGTCTTGGGGGAGCTCAGTGACAGATCTAATGCTACACCCTTTGGGCCTGCCATTGAATTCCATTTGGATTAAATTATTCAGTCATAAACCTGTCTTCTCATTACCATGATTATTTAATTTGACATAAGGCCTTCTCAAACCCACGTGGCTACTCTGTTGCTGGCAAGTCCCCTCTGGCTGCTGCACGCTTCTCCTTGTATCATAGAATCATAGAATCACAGAACGGTTTGGGTTGGAAGGGACCTTAAAGATCATCCAGTTCCAACCCCCCTGCCATGGGCAGGGACACCCTCCACTAGACCAGGTTGCTCAAAGCCTCATCCAGCCTGGCCTTGGACACTTCCAGGGATGGGGCATCCACAACATCTCTGGGCAACCTGTTCCAGTGCCTCACCCCATGTGAATGTTGCTGCTTTCTCAGTGACCCTGTTGTCCGCTCTCCTAGACCTTTCTGCAGGGTAAATCTGGGTCCTGCTGAGTAAGGCTGGGCCCAACAAAAGGCTTAGTTTGAGCCTGGCCTTTTGGACACTGTGTGTTTTCCTATGGCTGGGTTAGAGCTGTGGGCATGCTGGGGCGTGGGGCAAAGTTATTTCAGGAAAGGTTAGGCTGAAGTCTACAATGAAGGGAAAAGCAAGGAAGCTGTTCTAGAAGAATTCCATCTTCCTTATTTTAATATTGTCAGTATGTGTTGCTGTAGCTCTTCATGTCAGTCTTGCTCTGCTCTGACACGAGGACGACTGCGGGAGCTCGCCAGTCAAGACGTTAAGTTTGGTTCTTTTGACGAGATGAGGAAATCTGCTGTAATTAAGGTTTTAGGGCATAGGAGTGGGAAGCAAATGCAACGACTGTGGAGGACAGGGCAAGAACAGCATCTTCAGAAAGGTGTGAAGCAAATGGATGATGAATGTGACGTGCGGGGGCGGACAGGGCTCCTGGTACGCCTCTGCCCACGGTGTGTGTCATCTGCTGTGCTGTAAATACCAGGGCTTGTTTTTTCCTGTTGCAGACAAGCTCAGTGTGTATCAGAAAACACGATGGGTTCCGTGCTGCGTGTGTATTGCTTGGCCGTGGTAGCGTGTGCTTGCTGCCTGGCCTGATGTCAAGCTAAACAGAGCAGACAATTGCTAAGCAGGGTTTATGTTTTTTTCAGCGGAGGCACTAATTTGGATTTCTCAACTTAGCGGTTCCTTCCTGCCCTGCACCCCCGGTCTTTGAAGAGCTTCGTAACAGTATCTCTTATTTGTCAGTGGTGTCAGAATTTCTCTGTGGAAAGAGTTACACAGAGCCAGTATGTCCAGGCAAGTTCTGAGAGGGTGAGTGTTGCTTAGAGCACAGACCTACAGAGACCACCAGACTGGGAAATGTGGTCAAAGACAGTTCCCACTCTGTTCCTGTTCATTTTGGGAAAAGAGAACTTTGCTTACGTGGTTTGCACGTTGGCGATATTAAAACGTACAGACACCTTTTGCAATAAACAAACGGGGTAGACTTTTGCCTCCTATTGTCGTCTGTGCCGTTGGGACCTGAAGATTGATGAGCTGTATAGGTTGCACAGACCAAAGATGGAAATGGGACTCAGGAACTGTAAATTCTGTTCCCAGATCTGTTCACAGCTTGTGACGCTCAGGAACTTTATCTCTCTGGGCCTAATCAACCCTGATGTTCACTTTTGAAAAGAGCCGTGGGATTGACGAATGAAAGCCAAGATGTAGGTGGCAGCTATGACTGTTCTGTTCTTTCCCTGTCCCCTGCGTTTGCTTCCCACTCCTATGGCCTGAAACCTTTGTCGGAAAAGGAGGCGTTCTGAGCTGACTGAACTGAAATACTTGAATATTGTTCCTTCCTCTGATGTGAAAACAGAATGAAAATGTTAGATATTGAAAATTTGCAGATTTGCAAATATGTTTTCAAAACATAAAACCGAAACAAATTAAAAATTATACTGATTGTTTTTCCCCTCCTTTTATGACCCCTTACGTTGCAACCTACCCTCACTGGATCACCTTTGTGCAGGCATCTTTTACACACAGAGACTCTGCCAGCAGAAGGTACACGATCTAGAACTCTAAAGGGATTATCTGTTGGCTCATACAGTAGGTGGCTGTGGTTGTCATGCTACTGGGCTAAGCATTAATGTATACCACTGCTCTTGAGACAGTTTACGGGTCTCTGCCCGCCAGGCAGCCATTGAACGGGTATGTCGTGCCTTGGATCTGGCTGATTCTCAGTGTTGCCGAGATGCTGGCTTCCAGTGCTCTGCTTTTTAGTTTTACTCTTCTTCTCAGTTATTTTTCCCATCAATCCTTGAGCTGGTAGCTGTTACAGTCTCAGCAAGTACCTTTACATCCGTTTTTACCTACATTTCAGGGCTTTAGTTTATGCCCTTTCTTACACCTAATTTTCTCATCAAATTTGAAGTTTGAAGCTCACTGGTGAGATGAACGT